GCTGGACTCCCACGTAGTCGACCGCGGTTCGCATCTCGGACCCAGTGGCTTAAAACTCACGTCGGGTGCGTGTGCGTGCATGCCCAAGATCCCTAGAGGAGAATGGAGGAGAAGGGATTGCGGTGTGACCATCCCCCCCGGCGGGTGATTTCTCGCTTTCTGTCTCTATGTCTCTCTCTGTGCTCTGGCGAGCACACGTGGTCTATAGCAAAAACTTCTCCAAAAAAAAAAAAGAAAGGAAAAGAAAAGAAAAGGAGAAGGGATGGGAGCATGGCCATTCCACTTTGGGTATGCTATGTCACTTTCCCCTGCCTCTCCATTTCTCTCTAGTGAGCATACACACCCTATAGCAAATATTTCTAAAATATTTATTTATTTATTTCCATTTGTTATAATAATAACTATTATTATTATTATTTTAATTTAACCGGAGAAAGGACAGGAAAGCGAGAGAACAAGCCGCCAGGTCCAGGACTTAAACCACAATTGGCCATGTGGGAATCCAGCACCCTTTACCATTATACGACCTGCTGGCCCCATATAGCAAATTAAAAAACAAAATTATAGTCACTCGATCCATCAGCAGATTTTGGCAGACAGTTAAATTGTTCAGATGAACATTTTTATTTAGGTTAGAAGCTGCAATTTATGAATAGTGGTGTTGAGTCATTGAAGAAAGTCATGATACATTTTTGCTTAGAAAAATGCTCTGTGATGACTTTTCTGACAACCGAATAGTTCAGAGAAACAGTGATGTGATTAATAACAAAATAGTACCCCATCACCCTTCAGTAATTGATTCAACATAAATTATTAATGAGGTGGCACTCAATCCTGAGTGTAGGTGAGTATAGTACATTTAAAAAATATATATTGGGGCCAGCAGATGGTGTGGTGGTTAAGGTGCTGGACCCCATATGGCTGATTGCAGTATGAGTCCCATATCTGGCGGCTTGAAGATCACTCCAGGTGCATGTGCACACATGCCTAAAATCCCAGAAGGAAGATGGAGGAGAAAGGATTGTGGTATGGTCATTCCCCCCAGGGGAATTGTATTTCTCACTTTCTCTCTATGTCGTCAGTGAGCCATGCACCCTATGGTAAAAATCTAAAAGTAACCAAATAAATACACACACATGCAAAAACATGCACACACACACACAATCATTACTTAATAGGATCTTTAAAGGTGGGCCTTCCACATGATTGTTTTTGGAAAGCTTTATAATTAATTTAATGGACAGTTACAGTGTGCCAAACTCTGGATAGAGGTGATAGTTTATGGAGCTAATAGTCTAGCATGCTAGGGAGAAAAGCAAACAAATACAATTATATTAACTTCCATATAGTATATGTATGTAAATTTCCTATTGTATGTATAAAATTACATAAAGGGAGCCAGCCAGTGGCATAGTGGTTAAGGCAACTGGATCTCACATGACCAACTACCTGGGTCTAGTCCTGGACTCAGAAGCTTGGGAGGAAAAACAAAAAACAAAAAACAAAAACAAAAAAAACAAAAAAACACCAAGTTTGTGTGCATATGTGCCCAAAATCCTGAAAAGAGGGAGAAGTGGGGGAGAAGGGATTACAGTGTGACTATCCTCTGTGAGGACTGCTTTCTCACTTTCCCACTCTGTCCTTCTCTGGCAAGTGCATGTACCCTCTTACAAATTAAAATGTGTGTGTGTATGTAAAAGGTACTGTGTATCTGTAGTAGATGTGTGAGTAGAGTACAGTGGACTCAGAGGGAAGGGCATCTAATTAAGACTGCTCAGGGATCGTTAAATTCTGCTATATCTTAAAGGACAAATAGAACTAAATCAGGCAAAATGGAGTTTAGAATAAGGTCATTCTAGGCAAAGGGATTAGTGTATAAATATTCTTCATGAAGAATATGATTTTTCTGGGGGAATTAAAAATTTGATGTGATCAAAACAAAATGTATACATGAAGAAGTGGTAAGATTGAGGTTAGGAAGCTAGGTAAGGTCTCTTTTATAGAGAGACTTGTGTGTGTTTTAATGAAAAATAATTAAATTTTATCCTTGCTACTTTTTGAGAGCTTTAAGCTTCAGTTTAAGCTTCCAATGATAGATATGAGTAAAGAGGAAGGATAAACATATAAATAATATACAGTGAAGCAAAGGACCCAAAAGAGCTGGGGTTTTTTTTGTTTGTTTGTTTGTTTGTTTTGTTTTGTTTTTTTAAGAATTATTTAAGTTTTGGGACTAGAGGGTGGCATGGTGGTTAAGGTGCTGGACACTCCCACA